CTTCCTTGCTTATTGGAGGTACATATCCAAATTCAATAGCTTACCAATATCTTCTTGAGGGAAAGCCAAAAGAGAAACAAGGGAGAAAACATACATTTTAAAAGTTATCAAAAAGAAAAAAGTTATCTTTTCCCTACACATTTTTCCTGTCTCCCAAAACTGAATTTGAAAGAGAGGATGGAAATGTACAGGCCAACAAAAGCAGTCATTGTCATCATTTTCCTTAAAGTCATTGTCTTCCACACCTGAGCACTCGAGGGGGAGTCGATGGAGCTGGTGGCCCACATCCTGTGCGCTCCATTGCTTAAGTCACAGGCAGAGTTTTGTGCCATTGAAGTTGAACCTGTTGATGTGACAAATATGCTGCCGATTGATCCCTGAGCCATCTCTTTCACATAAAGTTCCAGAGATTTAGGTACCAAAGTTCTTGCCATCTTAAGCACTTAGACTGAGCAGCTTCCTGATTCTAGTCCACAAGCCGTTCCTGTCCGCTTTAATACTTCTTTATCATCATGAATTTCAATCATGCTGTCAAAATTAAGCAGGCACTCGGATTTTCCATACTGCATTTGATCATGTTCTTCTTGCTGGAGTTCACAATGATGCACGGTAGGTGGATGGCAGAGTTGAAAGGCAGCCGGTTGGCTTCCTGCTATGCTTGGCGATTTCTCTGCACCAGGTTCTTGAAAGCAATTTGCTGTAGAATAAGTTCTTGAAGTGGAAATTGTTTCTGTTGTATTCTTTCGAGTCTGCCTCTCTAACTCTAAATTTTGGCATTCCTGAGCCAACTTAGTAAACAGTCCGGTGCATTTGATTTTTTCCCCCCCTCCTTAGAAATCGTGTTGATGGACATTAAGCCGTTTAAAGCTTTGTAGGTGCCCTATCCTATTCTTCTGGTTGGAAGCTGACTTCACTTGATAAAATGTGGCTATCTGTCAGCAGCACTGAACTTCACAACCCATTCATCTGCGACTTCGTTAATACGAAGCGGTCCTTTTCCTCTGAACCATCTCACAGATTCATTGAAAAATGCCTCAGATCTGTGCCATTCTTTTCTCCTCTGCTCTTGTGTTTCCACCTGCTGTGCCGTGTTGACATTGAACTCTCCAAAGGTTTGGGCAGGAGTTTTTTTTCCAAGTGTATTTACTGTAGAGGATGAACAATTACTCATGATACCACATCTTTTCCAAGACTAAGATTCTGGCCTATAAAGGTCTTTATCTCTCCATTGGCGTCAATTATAACCAGCATCTTTTGCCATGTTACCAGATCCATAAAACCAATTCTGTACATTTTTGCCCACAAGAGAAAAAATTATTTTCCAACTGTACGTGTGCACAAAACACACCTGGAAAGAGCCCTGGGGAGACACTGAACAGTGCTCGCTGTGCCCACACGCAGGGAAGGCAGGAGCAGGGCCAAGGGGCCAGCCCACTGGGCCATTCTCAATTTTATAGATGAGGAAACGGAAGCTAAACTCTTAAGATATTGTTCACTGCCGCATAGGTAATATGAGGCTGAGTTACATTCTGAGCCTAAACTTTTTTAAAGTGTCTAAGGCGTTTCCATATATAGTCAGGAGTCCTGATGGCATAGAGGCTAATTTGGGGCCTGCTAACTGTGAGGTCAGCAGTTGGAAACTACCAGCTGCTTCAAGGGAGAAAGACAGCTTTCTGCTCCCTTAAGAGTTACAGTCACAGGGGCAGTTCTGCCCTGCCCGAGAGGGTCACTATGAGTCGATATTGACTCCATGGCAGTGAGTTTTAGAGTTTGAAGACCTCACAAAACATTAAGTATACATAAGGCTTCAAAACATTCCTGGACAAATTCCATTGCCTTTTAATTCCATTTTTCCATGAACATTTGAAAGCACCCTCATACTAATCAGTGACGGTACTAGGAGTGTAAGCGTTTGGTTCTGCTTTAATTCATATAGCAGTAATCCATCGGAAAAGAAAGAACGATGACCTGACTCAGCGGTTGCAGAGTTAAGCTGGGAATTACCAGCCCTTTGTGCTTACCTTTTGAATTGTTTTAAGCCATCTAATCTCAGATTCAGGGGCCTTGGTGGCGTAATGGGTTGCACATTGGGCTGCTAAGCACAGGGTAGGCTGTTTGAAACGACCAGCTGCCTGAGGGGCAGAGATGAGACTTTCTGTTTCTGTAAAGATTTACAGACTAGAAAACCCACCCGTTAATTCTCCTCTGTCTTGTAGGGTCACTACGAGTCAAAGTTGACTTGATGGCAGTGAAGGTTTGGGGGGGTTCTTTTTGGTTTCGTTCTGTTTTTTAGTCTAAGATGCAGCAAAATGTCTCACAACTGGACCAGTAGGCAACGTCGTGATAAAGGAAGAGAAGATTGAAGTTGTCAAGGGTTTCATTTTGCTTGGATCCACAATCAGTGCTCATGGAAGCAGCAGTCAGGAAATCCAGTGACACATTGCATTGGGCAAGTCTGCAAGACCTTTTTAAAGTGTTTCCAAGCAAAGAAGTCACTTTGAAGACTGAGTTGCACCAGATCCAAGCCATGGTATTTGCATTTCATGTACATGTGAAATCTGGACAGCGAGTAAGGAAGGCGGAAGAATGGATGCATTTGAATTAGGGGGTTGGCAAAGAATATTGAAAGTGGAATATTATGGACTGCCACAAGACCAAGCACTTCTTTACGAGAGGAAAGGGCTCCGGCATATAACAAGTTTGAGGAGGGTCAGCACTGGGCAGTATTTCATTCATTGTACATGAGGTCCCTATGACTCAACAGCACTTAACAACAACAATCTCAGATTCAGGGCTTTGTGCGCGTTCATTCAGTTGGACCCCCTGCTGAGAAATAGCCTTTCTACCCAGATGTATTGAATCAGTCTACATTTTACCAAGATCTTTAAGAATATGCAAAATCCTGGGGACCTTGTTAGACTGTATATAGACTATAGATTTTGATTCAATGTATCTGGTGTAGAAATGTAAATTCTCAGCAGGAGGTGGAACCAGAATTATTGGTTCAAAGCCCTGCTACCACAGTTCTTCTCTGTGATTGGTTGGTTGTTTAGGATCAATGAGAGTGCATGAAATCTGGTGCCATTGGAAAATTAGGCATTTTAAGAATAAGTCTGGGATTAACCAGATTGACCATTTACAAATGACCTGTTTCTTAATCTAGAAAATGAGAATATTGTCTTATTAAAGGTGTACTGAAAAACACGAAATAACACACAACAGTCTGTCGGAAGAACTTGACAGCAAAAGCAGTGATGGGATTTGGACCAGTTCTAAATCTGAACTGTGGAGTTTATTATACAGCTGTATACATGCTTATGAAAACAGTGAATGAAAGCAATTTTACCTGTCACTAGGCGACCTTTTTCAAAAGTTCTTCTCCCAGTTGGACCTTGCTGAGATAACCAGGGAAGGAGGAGGAGAGGGAAAGTTGCCAAGACTGTGTGTTTGTAACACCTCCACCCAGGTGTTTGTTTACTTCCAGGAAATTTGGGAATTACTGAATAGACAGCAACACTGTTCTGTTTTGTAGCCTTCCCTGAGATATAAGGATCTTTTGTGGCATAGTTGGATACACATTGAGCTACTAACCCCGGGGTTCAAACCCACCAGGTGCTCCTTGGGAGAAAGATGAGGCTGTCTCCTGTAGAGATTTACAGGAATCTCTTGGGAAGCCAATGAGGCAGTTCTACTCTGTTCTATAGGGTCACTGAGTCCAGGTCACGTTGATGACAGCGAGTTTTCTCCCCAAATATGCACCTGACTGTGGATCCTTGGGAAAATGTAATGGAATTATCTCTGAATCAGATTTTTGCGTTAAAACTTTATTTGGGCCTCAAGAACTACATTTCCATTCTTACAGATAAAATCAGCGCTCACTCAAAAACCCATTGCCAACAAATTGACTCCCGCTCATAGCAATCTTATAGGACAGAGTAGAACTGCCCCTATGAGTTTCCAAATCGGCACTAGAAGTCCCAAATCTCTTAGGACCCAAAGGTCCCTTGTACTAAGATCTGATTATTTTGTGAAATTTGTGTCATATTTATAGATCACATGTTGTATTTGCACCAGAGAAACCATTTTCTCTCAATTATTAGCAAATCTATTTGTTGAGTACCTGCTATGTTACAAATCATCGTCCCAGTTGCTAAGAGGGATACAAAGATGCATAAAATAATCACTGTTCTTAAGGAGTTTACTCTCTGTCTGGGGATCCAAGATAATCAGCTATCATACAGTTTTGCTGATGGACTAGCAAGCTTCATTCAGATTGTGCCTTACAAAGAGGTTTCCTTAAATATGGTGGATTTATTCTAATACTAGATCTGTCATGCTCTGGAAGTAAGTCAGGTACAATTTAGTTAGCTGGCAAAATAGACCACAATGGAAGTGATAGGCCTAGAACTACCGTGCTTACTGGGAGCAGGGAAGACCCAAGAGAGGTACAGACCCAGTTTGTAGACTCCAGCAGGTTCTATGAGATAAGCCGCATAATGACCTAAACATGGCATCAACAGGTCATCATCCAGATAAGCACGTGGCCTCAAACATGCAAACAGATTAAATAGGGCCAAATCTGACAGACAAGTTTTAGATCACGTATAGGCAAGGCCTGAGAAGAGGATAAATGCATATTGGAGTGGAAGAGAATAGACAAACGTATCTCAATAAGTAGCGCATGCTGCTTGTTTTAGTTGAATGAAACTAGTTACCGACAATGAGCATGTTTTTCACTCTTCCCAAAATTGATTAGGAACAACAAAAAGTCTTCTGATAGTATCGAAGACTTGGGGAAGGTTTCCAAAGTTCCTAATGCTTGTTTGTTGATATTTATAGTGATTTTTAGAGGTACAATGAGATATGATAATTTATCATTTTAATTTTAGAGCTGTGTTTACGTTATTATCTTTTTTGTTAATTCAAGTGTTGAGAATAATCAGATCGAGGTGAAAATTTCAACAGGGGACTTATTTTTTTCAATGGTGTTTGTATTTCAGAGATTAAAAGCTGCTTTGACCCAGCAACATCCTCCTGCAGTTACCAATGGAGATACTGTCAAAGGTCATGGTAGTGGATTGGTTAGGACTCAGTCAGAGGACTCTGGACCACAGTCATTACAGCAACCAGCCACCTCCACTACCGAAACTCCGGTGTGTACATAGCTTTTGCATTCGTAGATCATTCAGCACTCTGTTAGCATCCTTCGAGAAACAAGCACAGTATAATGCAAATGACTACATACTCTGAAAAAAATTATTTATGCTGTATTTTTTACTCCAAAAACGTATGGAAAGCCAAAACAGGTTGCAGTTACTATTGTTAGTTACCATCAACTTGATTGCCACTCACTGCCACACCATGTGTGCCAAGTAGAACCGCTCCATCGAGCGTTTCATGTCCACCCTCTGGAAGCACATCACCAGACCTATCGCCCCTGGTGCCTCTTGCATAGTTTGAATTGCCAGTCTCTCAGCTAACACTTCACTGTGCCACCCTGGGATTCCCGTATTCAGTGTCACACTATTTGTATTAAAATAACAAAAACAAACCCAGTTGAACAGTTGTTACTGTTATGACACTTTGTAAATGTTTGTGTGGTGCTGCTATCTTTTGGTCTGAAATGACACAGTACCCATCAGTAATAGTCTAAGCAACACATTTTTTTTCCAGAACCGTGAAACTGAATGCTGCTTGAAGAAACATATTTGGTTCTCAATTGTTGTATTGAAGATCTTTTATATGGAGTGGTGGCTTGCCTCTTTGGAAAGTTAGTTCTATATTTAGAAAACTAATATTAGAGTTTTAGATTGTGGAGAACAGAAATTTTTCTTTTAATGGTCTTAATTATTTTCATAGTTTCTGACTTAACCATAAAATAAAAAATATGACAATAGGTATTTTAGGGAAAAGGTAATTTCCTTGCAATGGTACATAGGTTTTATTTGTACTATGCTCCTGTAAAGCTGAACATTTAAGTCATGGAAAATTTTAATAGGCTTAAGTTCTGATTGTATAATGTATGAATTATAACTTATTTGAAATTGTTGAGGAATGCAGTAATCTTCAGAAATGTTAGTAGCTAGAGATTATATTTTCTTTGAAGTAGCAAGACTAAGATTTTAAAATTTTTTATCTTTTTAAGATTACAATGCTTGTTTTCGAAAGTATATGTGTTCATTACTACTGAGTTTATTATATTCTAATATTGTAAAGCCCACTGTAGTCATTACAGTGTATAGAACTGTTAGCGGCTCTTCTGAATGTACCCAAGAAGAAGATTTTTGTTTGTTTTGTAATTATTGCTTTTAATAATTTGTTTCCTCATTCGTCCAACATACTCCTTTTTAATTTTATTTCTTTAATCTGCCTACTTATACTACCCATCCTCTATTTACATCTAGGAAATCAGAAGTCTTTTGAAGAAATAGATATATAGGGGTTTAGAGATACACACGTAGATATGTATATGCATTTATGGTGGCGTCCAAAAGTTCATGGGAAAAAGTGGAATTGGTAGATTAGAAAATTTTCCATGACCCTTTGGAAGCCCCCTCAAATATGTATGCATTACATTTACTAGCATAAATCAAACATTTCCTGAATTAAAACTTAGTGAAAGGAACAGATAATGTGTTTTGACAGCTGTTCATATTCAAGGCACTTTTTACTTGATCTCTAGTTTGTGACTGCTGATCACATGATTGATACTTCTATTTGTCTGCAGCATATTCCTATAGTGAATGGTCAGGGTTTCTGCTAAGTGCTTCAGAACTCTATGTAGACCTGTTCTCTGCGGTGTTTTAAGTATCTGCATTAAAAAGCTTTCTAATCAAAGGAACACAGGTAATCCGCAAATAGGGTGACAAAAGGAAAGTATGGTGTGTGCACACTTTAATGATATAATTCCAAGGACTACAAATTTGTTCATGGTCCAGATCCAGCTGATGGCTCTTTTTTAATGGTGTGTCAGCTAATAATACTTTTTACGGTTTGGGCCAGAACAAAAAACTCCTTGCCACTGAGACTTTATTCTGATTCATAGCAACCTTATAGAACAGAGTAGAACTAGCCCTTTGGGTTTCTGAGACTAAATATTTCAGGAGCACACAGCCTCATCTTTTTCCCATGAAACAATTGGTGGGTTCAAACTGCTGACCTTGTGGTTTATGGCTTGATGCCCAACCTACTATCCTACTAGGTTTCATGTGTTTGTTTTTAAAAAAAGGAATATGACCCATCCACAGCCTAAATTGGTTACTCTCAGACCTTTGCAGAAATTGGCTGATCCGTTATAACACAGTTGTTTATTTTTACTAAGCTTTTATTTTCTAATGCTCACTGTACAAGGAGGCTTTAAAAAGCTCATGGGGAAATGGAATTGAAGGATAATAGAATTTTTTCATAAAAATTTTGAAGTCCCTCACAGTTAATGCTGAATCTAATTTTATTTGTGTATGTTGTATATTCTATTGTATTGGATGTAATTACGCACAGTGAGGGCAGAGCTATCTACTTTGTTTACTTCTGTGTCCTTAATTTCTGAAATAGTCATTTAGATATTTTTGATGAAATTGAACTGAGTAAACGAATGAATGGAGGATGGAGAGATCTAAGAGGGAGGACTAGTTTCTCCTAAGCAACCTCAAGTCCTTATGTAACTGTTGCTGTTAGTTGCTGTGGGTCAGTTCTGCTCAGCGCAAACCCATGTGTCACAAAGTCAACTGCTCCGTAGGGTTTTCTTAGCTGTGATCTTTTCAGAAGCAAATTGCCTTTTCTTTTCTCTTGGTACCATTCAGTGGATTTGAATCACCAACCCTGTAGTGAAATTGACCTCCCTATAAAGCACAACCATTTGCACATCTTGGAACTTCAAAGCCATGGTAGTGGTAAAAATATACAATAACTCTGTTGTAGTTTCTGTTTAGCAACTTACCAAAACCAAAATCTGTATTTTTAAATTATTTTCTACCATGTTGGGCCATCTTATATCCTAAAAGTCATAGAGTTCTAGAAAGGTACCTTATTTATAGTCTGGAAACAGACTACTCAGGAAAGCTCCCTGTTTGCCCTGAAAGCCTTAAACTACGTGGTTTGATGGAGATTAATTGATTATATTCTGCTTTACTTAAGGCTAACAGATCTAATCACATATAAATACCTCATAACAACATGTGAACCAGTATTTCACCAAGCAGCTACAAGGGAGTTCGAAAAGTTCACAGAATTTTTGCATTATCTTTTAATTTCATGAACTTTATAAAGCCGCCTTGTATGTACCTGTCCCCATCAAGTTGACCCACAAAATTAAGCATCACAGCAACATTTTAAAATATAATTAATTACAAGTAAATGATTGTTTTGTAACCCAAAGGTTTGTTTCTCCTTTGGGTTATAATATCTATGGATGCAAACTCCTATTTTCCATAGCATTTCCAAGAATTCCTTTTGTATCTCTCACACTCCAGTGTTTGGCCCCGGGTGGTGGCCCCTGAGAGGTGTGAGATGCAGTCTCAGGCACAAGACTGTGACTAGAGAATGAAGACTTTTTTGGTCTGGCTGAGTTGAAGTAAACAGACTAGTTCATTGAGGGGAATAAATTTTAAATGAAAAGCTGGGCTACTATGGAACTCTTAATCCCCTCCCCCCACGAAGATGAATATTAAAAATTACATTATCTTACTCCTAGAAAAAGGTTGAGCTAAATCTCAAAACTAAGGAAAATTGAGCACAGCAGAATATGTTGATGCTTTTGCTTCTTGATTTTATTTTTTTTTAAATCCCTAAAGACAATCTACAGATTAAAAGTAAAATATTTTATTTCAGAATGGCATGGAAAACATGACTTCTCATAGTTAATTAAATCAAATATTAAAAATTTCAACTTAGTAACTTAACAGTAGTTTCTAAAGAATTGCATAATGCCATAAAGTCTGTTAAAAAGTATACACGGAAATATATAAGATCTATAAATGATCAATTTTACTCCATAGTTAATTTCATCATGAAGTTTCCACTTAAATAAAAATATTATATATTATCTAATTGAACAGTGCCTTTACCATAACTGCATTAATGAACATCTTAAATAGCTTATTTATCTCAAGGAAGGAGTTAAACCACGAAGTGATTCTCAGATTGCATTGAAATAATTGCTGTATGTGAAGAGACTTAGTAAACAGTTGCCCCCCCCTTTGCTCCCTCCTAATGTACTCAGCACAATTGCTCATTTTTGTTTACTATAGTCATCTCCAGCTCATACAACTCCACAGACCCAGAATACAAGTGGTCGTAGAAGAAGAGCAGCTAATGAAGATCCTGATGAGAAAAGGAGGAAGTTTCTAGAAAGAAATAGAGCAGCAGCTTCAAGATGCCGACAAAAAAGAAAAGTCTGGGTTCAGTCTTTAGAGAAGAAAGCAGAAGACTTGAGTTCATTAAATGGTCAACTGCAGGTATGGTGCATAGATGCGTATTTTGTTTTACTTATAGGCAATAATTATGAACTTTGTTTTTCCCTATACCCAGCCATGTTTGGGTATATTATTGGGAACTTATGAAATCTGTGATAAATCGTACTTTCATAGTCTTGACTAGTGAGATAAGTGTAAAACTCTTAGCACAGATACCATGAGGAACTTTAAATTGTCCACCCATTAGGTTCAAAAGTAACTGAAATCTCTGGCCTGAACTTTTATATGTTGTGATACAAAAATTCAAATAAAGAATTTTAAAAATATTTCTGGTATTTCACTTTTTTCTTGTTTATTTTATTTTCTGCTTTATATCACGACTAAAAAGTCACTTCAGTAGCAGTTTTTATTTTTATGTCCTTTTGCCCTTTTAATTATAAATTGTTTTTGTTTGTTTGTTTGTTTGTTTTATTCAAAGTGACTATAATGCTCGTGAAAGGTGCCAGATTGACAGCTTTGGAAACTGAAGAACTCTATTAAGCCACAGACCAGGTACAATATGGCCAGTGGCAGTACATATTGGCTCATACTGCCCTGCCAGTGTGCCTCAAATACATTTCTTAGATACCTCATCAGGTACAGAGGTTGTCAGGCTCCCTCCCCATCATTCTTTGACTCCCATGGTAAGAAGTACAGTGATGGTACCAAACAACATCAAGTGGGTCTCCTTTCTTTATTCCCCTGCCATCCTTTGGTGTGTTTTTTTTCCCTTTCCCTTTTGTGTTTCTGTTGTTTTGTTTTCAATGTGAATATTTTTCACTAAAATAACAGTTGAGAATATTGCGTAGAAAATTGATTTTAATGAATTGACTGTTCTTATAGTTCAATCTCTGACTTAACCATTTCCAGTTAAAATGAATCTTTTTTTGTATAATTGTAATTGATGCAAGGATCCTGTTCTCTTTTTAAATCTTTCTTCAGTAGAGCTGTCACCAATATAAATATCTACTTAAGTGCTTAGAAAAACGCTTTTAGCAGTAAGCCCAATTTCAACTTAAATTTTTCATAGATGAGTCAGCCATCTTTAAAACTCAGTTGTGCTTAGAATATTGACTTGGAAGCTCTGGAACAAATAAATGGTCTTGTAAGACATCTTTTTTACCCTTTGAACCATGTAGAAAAAAATTAAGCACTGCTTACCACATCATAAAGACTACAATTATGTACTTGTATAGAAGATATTAAGAACTGTTAACCATATGATTATCTGATAAATGAATTTAGGAACTGTTTTCACAGTTCTCGAAAAAAACAACTGAATGTTTTTCTTTACAAAATAAATGGAAGCATTTTATGTACAATCTACTAATATTTATATACTGTCAAAATGACTGTTTATTTCACCAGTTCTCTCTGCTAGAATGTCAGCTGTACATTTATAACAATAATACTGGTTTAGATTTTTCCAATATTATTCTTACATAACAAGGTGATTTAGTCCATCCATTCTTGTTCTTAATAAAATCTTCTGAATGACTTTGTTTCTTTAGAGTATGTGTCCCAGCGCATAGCAAGCCCTAATAACCCCAGTTGTATTGCCTGTAGAATTAGGATAATAACATCAGGTGATCTTAACGTCTCAGGATAGTCTTTTAATCAGGCTAATATGAGCTCAAATTTGTTTTCATATGGAAAGTTTTCACATTATTTAGGCAAATTTCTCAATCAATACTTCCCCTTATAATTTGGCTTATTTTCCCTTGTTTAAGAAGTTGACATCTGTAAACCGCTGCCATCAGGTTGATTACAACTCCTAGCACCTTAGAGGGCACTACAGGACTGTCAGCCTTCCAGAGGAGGTAGTCTCCTCTTTATCCCCCGGACGCCTGATGTGTGTGAACCCCCGGCCTCAGGTTAGCAGTCCTAACACTCACCCACTGTGACGTGGACTATGTAAGTGGGGGGGCGTCAAAAGGTTTGTAGAAGAATGGATTTTTAAAAGATAATGGAATTTCTCCATGAACTTTTTGAAGCGCCTTCATGTTTATCATTTGCAGGATTCTCTTGGTTTGGGGGCTGGCCCAGTTTTCTTTGTTAACCCATGTGAGGCAGTGTTAACAGCTTTTAAAAATAAAATACGATTTCCTTAATTATTCTGCAACAGTAGCCACCATTATTAGTAGCAGCAGTGCTTTACTATTTCAGAACTATATAGAAATTCTGTATTCCAAATAAATATTCTTTTAATCTTCGTTAATCTCGGGGTTTCTTCCTGCATGCAAGACTAAGGTAGACAGTCATTGCATCAGTGTGCCTCTTTACACTTCCCAATTTGACTAGAAATTTCTTGATTAGGGGAATAGAAGGCAAGATTTGTGTTCTAAATAAAAATTAGGTGTCACTGTGAATAAAGTGAAGGTTTACAGAGCAGATCATCAGTTTTACATTCAATAGTTCATACGCATTTTGTTTCAGTTCATGCATTGCTGTCCTCTCAAGGGACCGTCACTTACCCCACTTCCGTCTGGTTTCCTCTCTTTGCTCACCCTCCAGCTCTCGTCCTTGGTTAATGTCCTGTTCTTAAATGGCTGGTTATTCCAACCCAGGGGAAGGATTCACTTCCACACCTCAAGAGTGACTAGCGTTCATTCCACTGGTCGTAAGCATGGTCTTCTTTATGATTTGTGTTCTGGTCTACATTTTCCTACATGCTTCTAATGTGAGCAGTTGGTAGTGGTAGCCGGCACCATCTAGTTCTTCTGGTCTCAGGGTTGCGTGACACTGCATTTTGAAGCACGAGACTTTTAAATAGAGTCAAATTCAGGCTATCACTAAATTAAGTGCTACAATTGAACATAAATTTAGTCATTACTGGGAGTAAGATGAGGCTTCTCCTCTTCCCTATAGGTTTACCATGAGTCTTACTTGACTCAATGGTAGTGAGTGTGGTATGGGTTGGTCAATGTCCTACATTAAAAAACAATAAACGGTAGTGTTTTAAGCATTAAAAACTGAATATTAATAGCCAGATATGTTTTTTGAGACACATACTGAAGTGTGAGGAGATTAAGTTACCGTATATACTCAAGGATAAGCTGACCTGAGTATCAGCCGAGGCACCTAATTTTACCCAAAAACTGTATTAAAAGTGCCCTGAAAAACTCAGCTTATACACGAGTCTATACGATATGTGATATCACAGGTTTGCTTTAAAATACTCCATCAAAGAAGAAAAACAAGGTCCATCTGAATGTATTAACTTGAGGAAATGTCTGTAATTGTTATGGACAAATGTAACTAAAACTATATAGCATACTTCTTTTTCATTAATAAAGAGTTTCTAGCTAGATAGGTTAACCTAAAAGAATGGAAATCACGGATGTGCAGGTAAAATTTACCTAGGACTTGTATCCAGATGCAAACAGTGGTGAGAAAGGGAAGCGGGGAGCAAGGACGGCTAGAGAGGAAGGGATGGTTCAGTTATAACTCAGAATCTTTCTTTCTAACCAATCTATAATTTGTACTTTCTGTCACTTTAGTTATTTGTCAAGTCATTTTAAAGCCGTATTGATGAAGTGGATTGTTTTAATTTTTGAAGTGTGAAGAATTAACATTCTTATAGCAGATTCAAACAGAAAAACCGTTGGTTTGGTCGGCCAGTAGCAGAGGCATCCAGTGTGAAGGAGAGAATGTCTTGGACAGAAACTTGAACGTCAGAGCAATCATTAAACTCTGCTCTCGGTGTAACTATTCACCGTTCTACATTTCCTGAATCTCCGTGCCACATGCAAGCCTAACTGGTCAGTGTAGTGAGCATTAGTGATCCACACGGAATGTGCAAGTTAAAACATACGGGTTTTGGAGGAGTGACTACTCATACTTTCACCAAATAAAATCAGGCTTTAGGAACTATCAGTTATTAAACTTTATGGCTCCATTGTGTCAGTTCTTTAAGTTGTTGCAAAGAGGTTGTCTTTTCATCAAATTGTATGAGATTTGTAAGTTGGTATCTGATTTTGTTATCTTTTAACTTGTTTATGGCAGTCTTTTTGTTTTGGGGTTAGTGTTTAGTTTATTATTTTAGCATGTTTGTGAATGAGAGGCAGAATCTACATTACTAACAGTAGATCCTTAACAATTACTCTGTAGATAAAACTCAGAAATATTATTATGAATTCTGCTTTTAAAACTCAGGTATAACCCAAATGGAACCACCCCATCTAATGTACAATTTAAAAAATAGGAAAAGAAACAAAAAAAGAATGTAAATGTTATATAAACAACAGGCCAAAAAAACCCAAACACACCATGTATTGCCAAGTGTGGAAGTGTGTGGGTCAAAGCTCAGGAAAGGTGGGAAAGCCTGTCTGCAGAGCTGGGCCTGTGAGGACGCCGCACTCATGAGTTAATGATGTGGGACAGGCTTCCTTTGCCGCTCCATTGACCTCTAGAGAATAGGATCAAGCCTTTGTTGTTGGTAGCTAGAGCAATTTTTTGTTTCAGTGTTCATCACTTGAAATGCGAAGGAATAGCAGAAACTAAATGTCACAAAATACTTGGGAGTTTTGTTTTTAATTTGCTGGAAATTATACTCTTTTGATGTCACTTCTTGGGTTGTTAATTTTATCTTAGAGGGAAAGAGTTAGAAGTAATGCTACCTCTACCTATGCATTTTATTCCGGGCTTGACACCTAGGAGGGTTTTGTTTTTCAATTAGTGTTTTCTAGAACTCATTCTGAGCCTCTCCTTCCCCATCCATCAGACTGATAGAATAAGTGCCATTATGAAGATCAAATTTCAGAGCATGTAAAAACAAATACTGGTTATTTGTTACTCCTTCTGTCATTGTGTGTCTTGCACTGAATTAGAACTGAAAATGCAGCAGGGAAAACCCTTGTCCTTGCGCTGTGGCAGCGGTTCTCCACCTTCCTCCTGCCGCCACCCTTTCATACAGGGCCTCATGTGGTGGTGGCCTCCCAACCATAAAATGACTTTCCTTGTTACTTCATCACTGTCATTTTGCTACTGTTATGAATCGGGCT